CTCTCTCTCTCTCTCTCTCTCTCTCTCTCTCTCTCTCTCTCTCTCTCTCTCTCTCTCTCTCCTATGTAATAATAGCCGTTAGCGGTGATCACGAATTCCGGTTGATTTTAATTAAATAGTGAATGAATAATAAATATTATGTAAATAAATGAATTTTCTAAAAATCTGACTTTTTCACAGATCATCACCTCTTTCACAGTTATGACAATCATTTATGGTGCCACCGACTCTCTCTCTCTCTCTCTCTCTCTCTCTCTCTCTCTCTCTCTCTCTCTCTCTCTCTCTCTCTCTCTCTCTCTTTCTCCCCTTGGCGATTGTGAAAAGGAAAGAGGCGATGGCTGGCTGTGGCGACTCGTGTCTATGGAGAGAAGGGGGAAAAAAAAAAGAAGGAAGAACGAAGACAATGTTCTTTTTAACAAATTACCGTCATGATGGTGAATACAAAAACATGCGGGGCTATAGTGAATCTTCCATGGCTGTGGTGGCCAAGAGACGAACGAATCTTATGCAGAACAATGGCCAAGTACATTCGATTTGCTGAATCATAAAAAAAACGATGGCTGTGGCAGAAAGAAGGGAATGGCTATTATAGTCTATTGGCTATTAGCTATTGCTCATGTGGAGAACCTTGAATATGGTCAACGAAGACCATGGCTATCGTGCTTGGCTATGCTGAATGGTGGCTGTGGTGGATCTTGGCTATGGTGTGACAACGGCAATGGACTAAAAACGATGAACAGAAGATGGTTAACGTGTCTATTGGCTATTCGCTATTGCCTATGGCGAATCTTGATGATGGCTATTGGCTATGGCGAATCTTGACGATGGGTATTGGCTATGGCAAATCTTAATGACGGCTATTGGCTATGGTGAATCGTGATGATGACTATTGGCTATGGAAAATCTTGATGACGACTATTGGCTAAGGAAAATCTTGATGACGACTATTGGATATGGAGAATCGTGATGATGGCTATTGGCTATTAGCTATTGGCTATTGGCAATTGGCAATTGGCAATTGGCAATTGGCGATGCAGAGAACCTTTTGATGATATGCCAATTGGCTATTGACAATTGTCTATACAGAATCTGGATGACGCCTATGGCTGTTGGCTATTGGGCTATTGGCTTCCTAACAGGCGATTCCTTCCAAACGATGGTAATCGTGGCTATTGGCTATGGAGCATCTTGATGATGACTATTGGCTGTTGGCTTGATGACGCACGAATGATAGTAACAAAGGCGATGCTTAGCGTGGATTTTGGCTATCAAGAATCTTGACGATGGCCGTGGCTATTGGCTATGGAGAATCTTGATGATGGCATGGCTATTGGCTATTGAGGATCTTCACGATGGCCGTGGCTATTGGCTATTATGGAGGATCTTGAAGATGGTGATGGCTTCTATGGAGAATCGTTGCGCCGATGAACCCACAGGGACCCTCATGATGGCTATTGGCTTTTGTCTATTGGCTTTTGTCTATTGGCAATTGGCCATTGGCTATTGGCTATTGGCTATATTACGA